TTCAAGTTGGTTCGTTGTTGCCATTAACTTCTTTCTTGTTTGGTAGAGAGAAAATTCAAAGAGTTTTTAATATTGGCTCTCCTCTTGAATCAATCTCGTCTAGAAGCTCTCTACACGATGGAGGTGCTTTCAGCAATCTAAAGAAATGGGACATGTTATCAATCATTCCTTCTGGTCAAAATCCAATTATCGAATGTGAATTTCCTGGAACCATCTCCCGGGGATCTGATGCCAATAGTGTAGAAAATATGGATATTCATGACCCTAAGGAAAATAGATCCACAGACAGATACTCAAGGAAAAAACCTAGAAAGAAGGGGAAGCGGAATAGAAATCTCAAGTGCAGTAATGGCCTAAATGAGCTGCAATCTGCAGTTGGATGTTCAATAACTCAAGCTGTGATACAAAGATGCCATGACCGTGAGCTCTATTGCTCTTGGCTCAAGGAGTGATGAAAGATGTAGTTCGGGTGGATGTAAATCACCTGCAAGTACAGAGGTTTCTTATGCTGGATACATCTTAAACAGTGCTGGTGAGAGGAAAAAGCGTTCAAAGCAGCATCTTGGGAATCCTTATGTAACAGAAAAGAAGGATAAGTATTTTAGAAGAGTTCCGAAATACTCAAATGTCTATGCAAGTAGTACTGGAAACCAGAATAGCCATGCGAGAAAGGAAAATTATCATTGTATTTGGAAAAGGGTCCAGAAGAATGATGCTGATGTAAGCAACTGTGACTTGGAAAAATTGAACTTAGGTTTCTCACTGTTTGATGATAGGTTGAAAAAGAGTACATTGAAGAAAGAGCTTCCTAATGATTCTATTATATTATCACAATCCGCACATGAAAATCAGGAAAAGCTCAAATTTCCAAAAAATCCCAGGAGAAATAAGTGTTTAGATCCACTGGAGGAGAATGAAAGTCAATGTCAGAAAGGATCTCCAGTTAATGGAGCCTCTTCAAATGTTTGTTTGAAGACTAACACACAATCAGATGATGTATTTGGTTCAGCTACTCAAATAGCTTCAGCAAAAAGATCAATTAATGTTGCAGATTCTCGAACTGGAACAAGTTCTTTCAGGGCTAGATACAAGAAAAGGAATGTTCAATATGTTTCCCTTAAACCAATCCCGAATCCCAAAGCTTGTTCCCGTAATGTGGAAGCAACAGGAGATGTCCCGATTGTTGTATCCAACGTGGATGATCAAATGGTTGAACATCAATTTGACTTGTTATCTAGATCAGAGAAGTTCGATGACCTAACAGCGCGGCGGCAGGAGCTTCCTGCTGTGGATGGAGAGGGTGACAAAGCGGACAAAGAAGTTTCTCCTCCTGGTCAAAATGTTACACATGAGCAACTGGCTTCTAAATGTCAAGCTCCTGTTTCTTCCTCAGTGAATGTCAGAGTGTTAAATGTAGGTCAAAATTCAGAAAATATAAAAGCATTACCTGGTGATACTCAGTTTGGGAAGTTGAGAAATCATAACACATGCACTCTAGAGCAGGGCTACGACAATGCTGCTACGGCGAAGTTCTTCGTTCCTGAAGCTAAAAGCCAAACCTTTCATAGTCTTGAAAATGATTGGAGAAACATTTCTCAGGCAGTGAATGATGCCCATAGGGCACAGCTAGCCTCTAAAGCCATTGAGATCGGTAATGGCTATCCTGCTGCCGAGTTTGAGAAACTTCTTAATTCTGCCTCTCCATTTATATGCCCATCTGTTAGTATTCGGACTTGTCGGGCTTGCCTCTGCAGTCAAGCTACTAATGATCCTCTATGCAGACATGAGATATCGAATATCTCTTTGGAGAACTTGTGGCAGTGGTATGAGAAACATGGGAGCCATGGTTTAGAAGTAAAAACATGAGGCGCAATGCATATCTACATCCAGTTCCAGAGCAACATTGTTTTCGGTTGGCCATTTTATAGGATACCCGATGGCAATTTGCGTGCTGCTTTCTTGACTTATCATTCGCTTGGCCATTTTATTCATGGAAACCAGACACTAAAACCCCGAAGTGTGGATTTCAATAGAATTTCGTACACTTTTGTTTTCGCGGATCAATAATAAATGGAGTCAATTTCCTTTTGACTAGGGATTTAATAAGGTTACTTGGAACACTGAAATTCAATTCTAAGTGGTGACTCTGTAAATAAAATAATCTCTATCCAAAATTGTCTTGGAAAATCCTTTTAACCCACTATTATATATATATATATATATATATATATATATAAAGCTAGGTTGGTGAATTAAATCTAAATTATAAACATTAAATGAGAAATGTGTCACTCATCTTAATAAGAGCGTAATAAAAACGAGAGGAAACGAGGAGCCAAATCCTTTTCCCAACAAATAATGAAATTCTCAATCACCCAATAGTTAATTTCCCAACAATTAACAACTCTGTCCTAGTTAATTCCCCCGCATTCAACTAAGAGCATTAAGTTCACTCAACTATGGCTACAAGAACGGATGATGTTTATCTCTAGAATTATATTGCAGATTAATTCCTTATATTGTTCAAACTCTTGTTGATTAATCTAAAGTCATTCCTAATTTCTCCTT